CTAATTACAACGAATTCATTACATACATCTCGTCAATTGCAACACCTTCTCACAACAGACAAAAAGCAATTTTTGTATTTTAAATAATAAATCAGAAAAATCCATGTAGAAATAGTCGAATAAAAATTAGATTAAAAATCGATTATAATGGCACTATTATAATCTGATTTTAAATAGATTTTTCAGCTTTAAAAGACTATCCCTTTTTACGTCGATTTCATTTTAATCTATTTTAATTGAATACTACAACCACTATAATAATCGACTAAAAAAAGATTAAAATGAAATCAAAATTTTAAAAAATTATATGTTAAAGCTGAAATATCTGATTAAAATCAGATTACAATAGTGCCATTATTATTGATTTTTAATCCAAATCTTTTACAAGGAAATTTTTGGCTTCTTGAAGGCAATCGAAGTTTTATCTATGCCCTGCCCTGTCTTGCAGGGCAGGGCACGGCGGAAAAAAGCGCCTTGTGGACATCTCTGTATCGAATGCAATTGGATATTCATCACACATTTCAATAAGAAGATTTATTTTATTTGAATGAGCTGTACTTTGTTGTATGGAATCATTTTTTGATAGAGTTTGAAAACCTAAGAATATTTCAAGGTTAGTTTATATATTTCAATAAAAAAAAAAAATTTTCTATGATTTGTAACGGCATTAGCGTATTTAGAAGTATTCTTTTATTTATTTTTTGAATGTAAAGATATTATGTAAAAGTTTGTCATGTTTTTTTGTATCAACATAAAAAATAACTGTCAATCTATAATTCTCTTCGTTTAAAATAAAGTATTCAAATATGCTTGCAGTGAGTAAATGTAAGGATGATACAAGTTATGAATAACCACTGATTCGCTCGAATAAAAACTCAAAACTAAGTTGTAAGTTTGAAAACTATTGATATTATATGATAAAAGTGTTAAATTTAGTTTTTTTGAACAAAATAATTAGTTTAAATTTCATTTTTGACATACCTCTGAATAAATATACAATAGGTATGTATTTATACTTTTTCGTTGATTGTTTCCAAGCATTTTCAAGCATATTGAAGAAATAATTACTAATATTATCATCAGCTATTTTCAAATCTTTCAATTGGTCATCTGTTAGAACTTCACGTAGTATACCATATCCACGTAAAGCGATTTCATCATTAAGTGTTGCTTCGGCCATACATACAATAGTATCTCGTATTGTTGTATTTAAACGAAAAACCAACTTATATCGTATGTCTTTACTAACATCATTAAAAGCGATAAAATTGACTCGATTAAAATTGTTTCATCATTTAATCTATTAAGTTTTGTTTGTTTGTAAAATGGTGGATAAGATATGATATATATAAGTTTTTTAATATGATCGCATATTATTTCTTCTGTTGAAAAAAGTATTTTAATCTGTATTTTTTTCTCTCGATCCCACCAACAACATTCATGAATTAAACTAACCAATTGTGCAATACAATTCAATAATTCTTTACTCCACAATGCTACAGTATGACTATGAACATGAATTATTTCTAAATAATCTTTAGATAGATAATGTATAATTTCATCAGCAGTATAAAGAAAATGATTAACTTTTGGAATTAAATATGAATAGAAATAAAATGAACATGTTTTAATATAGAATAACAATTTAGCTGTGAATACTGATTCTGCTAAATTTAGTTGTCGAAGTTGAGTTCGACATAATTTATATTCTTCACTCATGACATATTTATGGATGATATGTTGACTGATATGATCAATAATAGGCAATTTATATTGAGGATTATCAAACAAAAAATATGAATGATTATCGAACCAGAGAATAATTAAATTGATAAAGAAATTATTTTCATTCGTATTTCGTTCGATTTGTAGAAATATATTATTAATTTGCTCAACACTTACAAAGAAAAGAAGAGATGCTTTTGTATCAATTTCGATATTATCATAGTTAAAAATTCATTTTTTATTGAATAATGCAAGAGTATAAAATAATTCTTGATAGCAAGATTCATTAATCCATTGATGAGACTCCTGATTAAAAATTTCTCATGTCCAATGTTCAAGAATAAGTAATGATTGAAATAATTGAGAAAAAAAAATCGGTAATGATTCATCAGTTTGTTGTTTAATAAATAATTTTATATCATCAAGAGTATCAATCGATACAGGTGATATATGCAAGGTCGTGATAAATTGATCAAAATTACTTTTCATACTTTTTTGCTATGTATATCCTTTCTTTCACACATGTACGATATGATATAGTTGTAGTAATTATATTAGTTTTTATCACTTGAATGCACATGAATATAATTTCATTTTCGTCTTTTTATATAATATATTTTTTTTTATTCCTTTCTGCACATTAGATAAAGTCAAAGGCTAGTTTGAATAGCGTTAAATAATGATTTTTATACTTTTTGACACTTATATGAAGGAAGGTTTTAACGTGACATCATAGAAAAAAATATCCATATTGAATATAGTTTATTCGTTAAAGGTAAATAATTTAGATAAAGACAAGATTATTAAATATACAACCAGCTATATAATAGATATTTCAACGAGCCGATTTCAGTTTCCGACGAGCATCGAAATTCTATATCGAATAATCGAATTCTTACTCTCCAATAGAACAAGAGCTCGGTATATTAAGTCATTTCGAGCCTCAGTCCTTGAACTTATGAACGATTATTTCTGAAAAGATCGAAATTCAATCAAAATAAAAAGGACTTAATCGGATTGATCTTTCATCCTCGATTTGTTAAAATCTATCGACTATGAATACTTACAATTCAATATTATGACCATTGTATTTTCTATGTTTAACGTTTGCTACTAATTTTAAAAGATTAAAAATAACATTTTTTTAAGAACGAAATTTTTTGCACGTCTCTAGCTAAACGAAAAATTTTGTTTGAGTTTCAGATTTTATATAAAGATATTATTTGATAATCAATTGATTTGCGTGATAAAACATAAAATCAACTCTTAGAAATTCTTTTGAAAAGTATAATGGTTTTAACAGGTCAAACAAGTTATTTTTCTGTTAATAGTTATAAAATATATCTCATTAGTTTGATTAGATACACTCATACTTATAAAACATTCGATTGTTTATTATTGTACACCTATAATAAACATCATACATCTCATATTCTATCTGTAAATTATTTTTGTCATTCCTAAGATCAGTTTTAGAAAAAAACGAAAATTTATTTAGAAATTTCAACAACAAAACTATAAACAATAGTCGATATATTGAATCATCTGTATGATTATGTGCAATGTAAACACTCATTCATAACTTCATATTCTTGTCACCAACGTTTCATTATTGATCGAACAAGATATATGAAAATCTTTTCTCTCAGTGTTTACATCAATCGACTGAAGAAGTCGTTTTTGTTGATCCATTAATGAATGAAAACAGGATAACTCTATTAATGATATACTTTCATGTATTCTTCGAAGTGAATCTTCTTGAAGTAAATTTAAAATTTGTTGTGTTTCACAATTTTTCACATACTTGCTCAAATAAATTAAACTGCGACCATTACAATTTGTAAAAAGACGAGACATTTGAATAAGTTTATGTTCTAATAACCAATCTTGTACTTGTGTTGGTGTCCATTCAAGAATATTCTGAGAAAATGTTGGTGATACTGATTTTTTTGGTGAAGAAACAGATTGAGTAGGAGGCATAACCGTAGAATCTTTTTTAGGTTGAACAGGTCCAATATTAGTCTTAGATTTATTTTCTGCTTTTAATTCTTTAAATAATATTTCCATTGCTTGAGAAAATTCATATTTATTAAAATCAACATATAATAATTGACCAATAAGAAATAAAAGCCATCCATCAGCTTTATAATGTTTTTGTAAAATAACAGGAACTATTTTACGTTGCATTTGAAATGCATATTGTGCTTCAGCTCGACAATAATTACTTTTTCGATATTGTTCACTCATACAAATAATAATTGTCGTTGATCTTTCAATAGCTTTTGCCATTGCATCCATAACATTTCCATGCATTTGATCAAAATCAATCCATACACGATAACCAAATTTAATTAATTCATCATAGATTTGTTTACAGAGAACTTTTTCTTTATGTGAATAACTAATCATAATATCAAATGTTTTTTCATCGTCA